ATGAAGGGGCTGAGGAAGTCTGCTGCATGCTCTACTTCCTTGGAGGCGTTCCAGTCTTCACAGTGCTACTCCCAGGGAGAAGCTTGATCAACACAGCCACACTACTTCGGAGATCGGATCTTCACGGTAGCTGCCACCACTTTCTCAGAGGACCTCCAGTCTTCGCAGTCAGTGTAGAAGGAAAAGAGAGAGGCTTCCTGGACACCACAGCTGCTGACCCCCCTCTGCTTTTCATTGTTTTCCGCCACCATGAACTGCTGCTGTTTGCCTCAGAGCCAGTGGAGTAGGGACTGAAACCTCCATGACCTGTGAGCTAAATAAACCTTTCCTTTCTTCATTTTGGGTGTCAGTATTTCATCCCAGAAATGAATAAAAGATAACTGGGACAGAATTTGGTACCAGGAGTGGGGCCATTGCTGTGACTATACCTGACAATGTGGATTATGGGTGTTTGGGAATAGCTTATGAGAAGACATAAGAAAGGTTTGGGGAGGTCTCCTACGAGCAAAGACATAGAATGCCTTCAGCTCCTCTGTATGGGAAATTCTGGTCAGAGCTCAGAAGACTAAAAGAGTGATAAAAAGTTGGCCTGTAAAGACTAGGCTGGGGAGGTTTGTTCTGGGAAGGACTGTATTGGTTGTTGGACTGCAGAAGATTTGTGTTATGGCTTGTGTAGTGGTTGATACTTTGTGTCAACTTGAGAAGTTTAAAATTTTAGTGGCTCAGCAGAGAGCCAGGATTTTTAGTTTGTAAACATCTTTATCCTGTGTAAGAGGATGGCATGGATGTTGTGTGAGTTTTATACCCCCAGCCACAGGGGAGTTTAAAATATAAGCAGGAGAAAGAAGCTTGCTAAAAGCTGCAGCTATCATGGAGAGAAAACATTCTCTCAGGTTTCACAGAGAGCAAACTGGCCAAGCATTGGCCATGACTCATCCACATGGCTGACACTGACAAAGTGTCAATCTGAGGTGCAGGATCTTGGGATAAATCCTGAGGGGATTTCACTGACATTACCAGACCCAAAAGCTACAACTCTTGTTGCATAGGTCTTGCTTTACCTTGGTCTTAACCATTCAGCAGAAAAGTATAAAAAATGAAGTATAAGAAGTAAAGCCATGCTGTTATGTTGAGCTGTAGGGGACTCAGGTAAACAATTTCTGACATTGCCAGTGAAGTGGAAGGCCCAATACTATTATGGACTACTAGACTATTTTGGAATATTTTGCTGAGTTCACACACCTATAATATTTAAATGATGAAACTAAACAAAAAAGGGGGGGATACAAATGAATGTCCATTTTGTATCTGTGTATTCAAAATGGTTAGGATAGATATATAGCTACATTCTCTTAATTCAGTGAATAGAGGGATTTGTTGTAATAGTGTTTGTAAATAGGATATCATGTCTGCATCTTGTACAACAAATAACCACTAGGAAGGCAGTATGCAATGTGTTAATTATTGGAACTGTCCTACCAATTTGATTTGAAACTGTCTCATTGCTATTTATTTCTCAATAAAATTATGGGAAATAAATAAATAAATAAAAGCTGCAGCTGCTGCCCTTGTTTTTTCCTCTTTGCTGTTTTCTGCTGCTATAGACTGCTATTCTCTATCATATGTCACTCGTCCTGGAACCCAGCAAAATATAGACTAACACCTCTACAAACTGTGAGTTAAATAAACCTTTAAAAAAAAATTGGAGTGGCAGATGTTTTCTCCCAGCAACAGGTAAAAAATACCAAAACAGGAGTGGGGTTATTGTTGTGACTATATATGACAATGTAGATTACAAGCTTTTGAGAATGGCTTATGGAAAAAGATAAAAACGATTTTAAAAAGTTGCCTACTAGTAAAGAGCTAGAATGCGTTCAGCTCTTCTGAATGGGAGACTCTAGTCAGAGCTCGGAAGACTAAAAGACTGATAAAAATCTGGCCTGTAAAGACCAGACTGGGGAGATTTCTGCTAGGAAGAAGGACTACATTGGTTGTTGGGCTGTGGATGATTTGTGTTATGGATTGGCAGAAAGTTTGTCTACATTTTGCTCATGTCCAGAGACTTTACCTGAGACTGAGATTAAGTGCAGTAGACTAGCTCATTTTGAAAG